ATAAAGAAACATCTTACCAAAATCTCTGGGATGCCCTGAAAGCTGTAGTAAGAGGGGAATTTATATCTCTACAAACACACATGAAGAAAATGGAAGGAACAGAAATTGACAACCTAACAAGCCACCTAAAGAAGTTGGAAAAGCAAGACCACAAAAACCCTAATTTCAGCAGAAGAATCCAGATCACCAAAATGAAAGCCCAAATCCAAGACATAGAAGACAAAAAGATTATACAAAATATCAATGAAACAAAAAGCTGGTTCTTCGAAAGGATAAACAAGATCGATGGTCCCCTAGCTAGACTGACCAAGAAAAAACGAGAAAAAAACCAAATAAGCATAATCAGAAACACAAAAGATGAAGTCACATCTGACCCTGAAGAAATACAAAAGATCATTAGAGACTACTACGTACACTTGTATGGAAACAAATTTGAAAACCTTAAGGAAATGGAGGACTTTCTGACATCATACAACCTACCTAGGTTGGAACAAGAAGAAATTGAGGCCCTAAATAGACCAGTAACAGTCACAGAAATCGGCTACATAATAAGAAAACTTCTTACAAAAAAAAGCCCTGGTCCAGATGGCTTTCCAGCAGAATTCTACAAGACATTTAAGGAGGAGCTGATACCAATCCTACTGAAGGTATTCCAGGTGATTGAAAAAGATGGAACTCTCCCCAAATCATTTTACGAAGCCAACATCACATGGATACCCAAGCCAGGTAAAGCTCCAACAAAGAAAGAGAACTACAGGCCAATATCTTTGATGAACATAGATGCTAAAATTCTCAACAAGATCCTAACAGCCCGAATTCAGCAATACATCTCAAAAATCATCCACCATGACCAAGTAGGCTTCATTCCTGGGATGCAAGGCTGGTTCAACATATGTAAAACCATATATGTAATTAAATACATTAACAGATGTCAAAACAAAAACCACATGATCATATCATTAGATGCAGAAAAAGCTTTTGATAAATCCTGCACCCCTTCTTGATAAAAACCCTCAAACATCTAGGCATATGGAGAACATACCTCAAAATAGTAAAAGCCATCTACAAGAAACCCACAGCCAGCATACTCCTAAATGGACAAAAATTGGAACAAATTCCCCTGAAAACTTGAACTAGACAAGGATGCCCACTCTCATCCCTCCTGTTCAACATAGTATTGGAAGTCCTGGCTCGAGCAATCAGAAAAGAGGAGGCAATCATGGGTATCCAAATAGGAAAAGAGGAAGTCAGTTATCTCTCTTTGCAGATGATATGATTGTGTACCTTGAA